TTAGAATAATACCTCTACACCTTGGGTTTTTTTTTTTTGTTTTTTTTTTTTTTGTTTTTTTTGTTTTTGTTTTTTTTAATATGGGTTCTGGAGATGGAACACAGGTCCTAGTTTTTGCACAAGCAGAATACTGACACTATTTCCCTACTTCTGTTTTTATTCTTGACATTTATGTGTATATGCACATAGGTATCAAGGGCTAAATGTGAAGAGAGGAAAACTTGAAAACAGGGAACTGACTTCCACCCCTGTAAAATCCGGTGATTAAACTCAGGTCATAAGGCTTGGCAGCAAGCACCTTTATCTACTAATCTATCTGGTCCACTAGCCTCTTAAAACCCTTTTTCTTTTTTCCTTTTTTTTTTTTTTGGCTTTTGAAACAGGGTTTCTCTATGTAGCCTTGGCTGACCTGGAACTCACTCTGTAGAGACCAGGCTCCCCCTGAATTCACAGAGATCCACCTGAGTGCTGGGATTAAAGGTATGGGCCACCAGGAACTCACCATGTGGATCAGGCTGCCTTGAACTAGGTTCCCTAGGGCTAGAATTAAGGGATGCATCCTCACTCCAGCTCCACCAATACTTTTCAGTCAGTTAACCTCCTTTTGTGAAGTTTCTGGGGATTCTTCCATCTTCTCATGCTTCCTTTTTTTCTTTTTTCGTTTAGACAGGGTTTCACTATGCAGCCCAGGCTGGCTTCACACTCAAATCTCCTGCCTCTGGCTCCTCGATACTGACATTATAGGCTAATACAAGCCGATTCCCTGATTGTTGGTGCCTGGGAACAGGTGCTTCAAATTTCTGCTTTTTGTTGTTTTTTTTTTTTTTAACATTTTGGGCTATTTGCATATATAAGTTTTTTGTTGTTGTTGCTGAATTTATTTTTTTTAACTTTTTAAGACAAGGTCTCACTATGTAGCCTTGGCTGCCCTAGAATTCTCTAGGTAGACCAAGTTGGCCTCAAATTCTGTCTGACTCAGCCTCCTCAGCCACCCAAGTATCACCATGCCATAGCAAGGTTTTTTTTTTGAGGATGGGATCCAAACCTAAACATAAATTTTACTTATGCCAAGAATATACCTAATATATTTAGCCTGAAAATACCTTTAATGAACCTGAATCTTGACAACCACCCAGCTACATGATGTCAAGGGTGGAATTTTCCATTTGTGATATTTTGCTGGAGCTCCAAAAAGACTAGTTTGGAACACTCTAAATTAAACATTTTTAGGCTAGAAATACTCCGCCTTTTTTTTTTAAGCATTTGAAAACATTGATCTTATACCCACTACTGCGGGGAATACAAAGTTCTTTGTCTACACAACTCCTCTCACATCTAAGGCAAAGATTTTCAAGACCAAACCTAAGTCTGACCAAATTTAAATTACAGTTTAGGGTTTTCAAATCAAGCACAAAACTTAATATTTAATAACTATGTTTTAATAAAGAGAAAATGATAGGGAGAGTAGTCTGGTATTGAAAATAACTTTCTATATATAATGTTGAGAGTGAGTTTAAATATTAAAGTATATGTTTCTACTCATAATATGTTGGCTTACCGTGAGAAAACAACAACAAAAAAAACCTTTGAAAGTACAAATGGCATGAAGCTGGCTCTTTTCAAATAAACTAATTCTAGCACAACTCTGATTTATTACCCAGCCCATCTGAGTTGTCTGCCAATCATGTGGTAGAAGTCTGCTTACACATGTTCAAAGCATAGAAATGCAAAAGTTGCCAGTCAACCAACAAAGAAGGGGTGGGAGGCAAAAATGAGACTGAACAATTCAAAAGGCAAAGCAAACTGAGCCTAGTTAGAGTCAGCTAAAGTGCCTATAAAGCTTGCTAGGACTTAATGCATTCATTATGTCATGGCACAAAAATTAGTCCTTACAAAATAGCAGTTATCAAGAAAATTATTTCCCTTACCTTTTAGAAAGGCGTTTCTACAACCTATAGAGTTTGGGGGTGTTACCACTACTTTTTTTTTCTTTTTCCTTTTCCCAGACAAGATTTCTCTGTATAGCCCTTGCTGCCCTGGAACCTACCAGGCTGGCCTCAAACTCAGGGACTGGCCTGCCTCTGGCCCCCTCCTCACCAAATGCTGGGATTAAAGTTATGCACCACGACCAAATGGCTTTTAAAGTGACAACTCTCAACATCAGAGAACACGGAATCTACCATTTCTCATAGAAAATTAACGGTCTTCTTTAAAGTCATTTTCAATACTTGTGGATTAATGTGAGTTTAACTGATAGAAAACCATGCCAACATAAGCAAGGAACATAGAAAACCCAGCACTTTGTTTCAAAGTAACAAGTTCCCTGAATTCAAAGTCCTTGACAAACCAATATTTATCCAGCATTTGGCATCCATCCTTGTATTAGATTCTTCAATCTTCAGCACTAAATATCTACAAGCCAAGGATTAATGGTGTGTCCAGATACTGAAAGTTACTTCTAATTTTAGGATTTTTTTTTTTTTTAATTCTCTGTGCATTTGGTATGAGAGTGTCAGAACCCATGGAGTTACAGACAGTTGTGAGCTGTCATGTGGGTGCTGGGAATTAAACCCCGGTCCTTTGAAAGAGCAGATAGTGCTCTTAACCACAGAGCCATCTCTCCAGCCCTAATTTGAGGTTTTTAACTTTGACTGTAGGTCTTAAGATTTAACCTAATTAAAGATTTCACCTAAGTCCTAATAATACCATTTCTTATTGTCAACATCATCCTGCTATATTGCTTCTATCAATGGCAGTCCTAAAGTCACCATCCTGCACAGATACAATTAGAATACATCTAATTGTATTGAAGGTACACTGAGGACCAAAGTTAGCAAAGCTGTAAAACAGCAGAAACTGTTCTAAATTCTAATTACTTACGTATCTACTACTCATCAAGAAATTCACACCTCAAGTGAAAATTTAAATAAAGGGTGTTATTTTGTTAAACAGATTTGCTATCTTTGATAAAAATGATGCTTCTAAACTAGGCATGTGGAAACTTGCAGGATGGCTTGCAGGATGGCTCTGCACTCACTTATCTATACTCAAATATGAAATACTAGCAATGACACTACAGAATGGAAATAGCTGGCTCTCACAATATGCTGGTGGCCACAGGACCCACCAACAGGGCAAATTCCACCACAAACTATTTATTATGCTTGAACCCCAATTAGACACTTCTAAAAAGTCAGAACCTGCAGCCTCCCCTCACTGAGGCATCCAAGTCTTCCCAACTCACAACCAAAAAACTCCAACTGCTGGGTTTAATGGTATAGTCCTTTTAATCCCAGCACTGGGAAAGCAGAGGTTGAAAGATCTCTTTTGAGTTCAAGGCCAGCCTGAACTACAGAAGGAGTTCTAAGACAGCCAAGGCAACACAGAAAGACCATACCTCAAAAAAAGAAAGAAGGAGAAATGTAACCAACTCATTCAAAGTAAGCAGAAGGCTTTCTAGCTTTCTAGATAACCACTGGAGTCTATTTGACAGGCTATCCTCTGGGCAGTCATGTCTCCTGAGCCTTGAGCAGGATGTCTTGGCTTTGCCTTTCCAACACCCAGGAGAGAGGGACAGGCAGAACTGAGTTCCAGGTAAACCAGAGCTACATAAAGAGACCTTGTCAGAATAAAATAATCTTCTAGCAGTTATCATTAATCACTGTAAAGAGAAAAATAAGCTTTTCCTGAAAGTTAAAAAAAAAAAAAGGGGGGGGGGGGGGTTAAAAATCTTAAAGGTTTTCTCTAAAACTGTTATTTCAGAGTGTTTTCTCTTAAAAGGATATTAATTTGATCATAAGAGATGTCAATACATTTGAACAAATTCGAAAGAAGTGGCTTTTATCAGATGACCTGGACACTTGAAGTGATACTGAATGGGATACATTCATCAATGTTTCTGATGAAGTAATTCAGTCATAATTTCACACACACCACCCCAACTGATAGTCAAAATGGCTGGTTCTCTAGCCAATAGCTTCTTTAAATGAGGAGGGGAGGTGCAAAATATAAAAAAATATAAAAACACGTCTACATTTTTTTCTCGATCATCTATTCATCTCTAAGCAGACAGATACCCACCCACCAAAATATACTGTAGCATTAGGTGTTGTACATTTATATATTACCAGTACACTCACGCTGTGCATTTATTTTCTAACCGGACTGAAGCGTAGTGCAGAAAACTTAAGCCTCCCCTCCTCAATCCATTTCTTAAGGAAAAACATCAAGAAATAGCAGTGGCACGCAATAAACCAAATGAAAGGGAAACATAGCAAGATCCAGGCGTGAAAGTATTTTATAGACAAATTTTGAGAAAATTCATTTCCTATCCTGAGAGAACAATAAAGCAATTAAAGCTTATTAAAAAGGGAATTTGGGTGAGGGGTTGTTTGTTTTAGAAATTTGTTTCATTATTTTCTCTAGAAACTTAACGTTGGCCAAACTCTAGGACAATTACCGATCAGCAACTAACTACTCCTTTGCCTGGGCTTTCCTAGCCAACTGACTAGCTGAGCAAGCCGATGCTGCTCGCCACATAGGAAATGCAGGCGCCAGCAGCGACTCCCTCCCGCTCCGTTCAGGGCTTGCCTGCTTCCAACCGGGAGAGGTCATCCACCCAAAAGGGAAGTGGAAGGAGCACAAGCTGTTTTCCCTTTCCTCTTCCTTCCCGCAGGAGGACAGGCAGTTTCTCTCCGACTGTTCGGCGATTCTGCCCTCAACTTCCCGATGAACTGGCTTCCCAGATACATGTCCCGAGTTCCACATCCCGGTTTTTCCTAACACACTCGGACGTCTCCAAATCAGTGCAGCCCAACAAACCACGACCTCCCTTCCCAGACCCAGCGCGGAAGAGGGGGACGGTCCCCTAGGGAGTGCAGACACGGGCTGTTCGGGAGCAGGCTGCGCTAGGTCAGCGGACAACGACGGGACCCGCCCTCGCCCCGGGGCCCGGCAAGAGGCCGGATGGACCCGTCTCCCCGCCGTCCACCGCGGCTCACCGTCAGGCCGGTGCCCAGCACGATCACGTCGTATTCCTCATTCATGGCGGGGGAAGGAGCGCACGCACGGGCTCGAAGGCCACCGTAGGGAAGGGAGCGAGAAGTCCGGCCGCTCTGGGCCCCGGGGGAAAGGGAAGAACCGAGGACAGGAAAACGGAGCGGACTAGGAGGCGAGGCCGGCCGCCACCTCAACGGGAAGAGAAGAGCCGGGAGGGGAGGGAGGGGAGGCGGGGAGAGCGCGGGGAAAGGAGAGCGAGCCCGCAGCCGGGGCGGGGCGTGCGAGAGGCCGCTGCAGCCGTCAGTCACGCGCCACCTGTCCTCTCGTTGGCGTAGCTCCTGCTAGCCCCACCTCCTCCTCTTCTCTTCTCGCGAGAGAAGGGCGGGACGCTGCCATCATGGCTTCCGGCTTTTTTCATCGGTCTTGTGCTACAGTGGTCTGGGCGGCGACACGCGAAGCCTGGCGTTGAATAGGACGAACTGGGCGGAAACTGCGGCTCGACTACCACGTGCTTTACTCTCGCGGCGTGGCGTGAGCTGGAGCTCGTTAGTCCTCAGGCCCCCGGAGCCCGAACTCCGCCCTTGGGACTTTGAGTAGGGTGTGCAGCGCTGGGTGCATGTTGGGCCAAGTCCTGAGAACACCAGCCTCTTGGAAGGCTGGCAGCCTTGTTGCCGCAGCAGCTTGGCTCCTGCCCCTGCCCCTGCCCCTGCCCCTGCCCCTGCCCCTGCCCCTGCCCCTGCCCCTGCCC